TAAGGAGGAGACATTACCATCTTTTGACTTTATTGCCAATGTGGAAAATGATGATGAAGAAGTTTGATATCTTTTTTTGGTGTTTTGTTTTATTACAAGTTAGAATTTCATGCTTAAGTTTTTTGGATTTGTTTCGGTACTATGATTTGGTTTTTTTGCTTTATTAAATTGGTTTTTTGGTTAAGACATGATGAAAGTGACTTTGCTTTTTTTGTCAACAAACTAACCAAAATAGGATCAAGTCACGAACTACCAGCTAGTATAAATGTATAATAACTCAGAAATGATGATAAGTAATAAGCGTAAAACAACAATTTATAAATTGTAAGCAATAAACCATGCTATCATTGCTATGGTCGATCATGTATTCATGTTTATGTTTTGTATAAAATGATATGAGCTGAAACGAGAATGATCGATCATGTTTATGTTTGGTGGTTCAGCTGAGGTAATAACTCCATGTTGGTTAGTTTAATTGTGCAGGTAGACGCAGATTTGGCAGCTACCAGCTAGTATCCATGCAGGCAGAAGCAGAAGTAGCTTGATCATGTTCTATGTGACATACTGCATGATGGCCCACGAAGGCCTACACATTTTACGGTACGGAATTGGGCAGCTAGTTTGAAGACCGTATCCCATGCGGGACAGTCCCGCCATGTACCGCCAAAAGACAAACTCGCAGCAGTTCAGGATGGGACGGAACGAGACGGGACGAGACGGAACGGGACGGGAAAGCCCAATTGTCATCTCTAATTGTAATCGGAATTAGGGGTCTAGAGGATTCAACCATGGATTGGATTGTTTGACGCTAAGTGATGCTATATAAAATATGTACGTATTCATAGTTATGAGTAGAGACTATGTGTGGGAGGTGACTTCGGAGATGTTCGGGCTTTGACGCTACAATGTGGGGCGTGAGTTCATAGATGTTTGAGCTTCGACGCTACTGTTTGGGGCGTGGTGCAAAGACGTTTGCATTCAATGCTACGGTTGGGCGGGGGTACAGAGACAGACTGTACTAACGATGCTTCGTGTATATATATATATATATATATATATATATATATATATATATATATATATATATATATATATATCTTTATGAGGAGTATGCGGGGTGTATGGATTAGTTGTATGCTATCATCGCATGGTTGTTTTGTGGGGCACTCTAGGCGTCTTGTTTGTTCATGTTAGAGCTAAACTTCCATAGTAAGAATTATATTTGACTTGAGTTAGAGCTATCTCATATCTTACTAAGTGATTTCCCTATTACTCACCCCTTCTTATTTTTTTCTTTCAGGTGAGGCTATGAATATGAGTGATTCACTTCGTATCGTTGTTTTGAAATTATTTTCATTTTTGCTATTTTCAGATTTTTGCTGGATGGTATTATCGACATTTTTGGATTTAATTTATTTATTGATATTATGGTGGTGGAGACTATTTATGAGAATTAATAAATAGAATTTTAGAAATTATTATTTATTTTATTATTTTGGAAAATGCAGTGTTACTAAGACAAGTTATTTTGAAGGTCGAACAAAGGATAACTTTATGGCTGCGGCTCTATTTATAACCTCTGCCTCGCATGTTTCGAACGATATGGCCGCCTCAACAATGCATCAAAGCGTCAAGATGATGCGCCTACTTAAACAAAGCCGCTAAAACGACGCCGTATTTCATAAGAGAACACATCGACGGTTAGTAAACGGACACGTCAATTAAACGGATAAAGCATATGTTTTCCTTTGAGCAACAAGAAGGATAACATTAAGACAAGGAAGAGAGTCTCTGAGCTTTCGATCACTCGCACTTACTTATGGAGGCTCTTCAATTTTCCAGCCATTTCTCGGTGAATAACAGAGTCCCGTGTACTCAGGATAGGAGGAGGAGTGGAACAAGTAGTAGAGCTACGTTTCGTTCTTCATTCACTGGAACCAGCAATTCAGCTTTTCTCTCTTTTAAGAACACCTCCACGGTTTGGTTTCAAATCTTCTTCCTTTTTTCTCTGTGTTTTTTTTTTTTTAATTATTTTGGTTATTTAGTTATGTCTGTGTTGCGTGCTAGAGGGAGATATGGAGTTGGGTGAAATCGAATACAATTGGACACGGAAGATACAGAATGAGCCAAGTGAGAGCGGAGATGTTTGGTCAATTGACTAGTGGACTCGAAGCTGCTTGGACCAAACTCAAAGGAGAAGGTTCTTGTTTGTCTTTGTAATTGTCTAAAGCTATTATATATCTTTTTGGTAGTTTTGGCTCGGACAAATAAGCATTTTTGTTCATGTATGTGAAGAGGAACACTATTATAAATAAATAATAGCTAAACTCTTGGAATAGGAATATATTAGAGAGATCATAGATTTCCAGGAATTTTTTTTAATGAAATTGATCAATTTAGTAGTCCAGGACTGTGTAATATTGGCACTATCAGATGCAAAGAGAATGAGTAAGGTTTAAATCTAGTTACGTTTACTTAAATTTGCAGATGTCATGACGAAGGAGAATATTGCTGAGCCAATGAAGGATATTAGAAGAGCTCTCCTTGAAGCAGATGTGAGAGTTTTGTTTGTTCTGTTTCTCAGCGTTCTTGCAGTATATAAGTTAACTTTAATCGCTTGGCGGTTTTGTAAACAGGTGAGCCTTCCTGTTGTTAGAAGGTTTGTTCAATCTGTAAGTGACCAAGCCGTTGGAATGGGTGTCATCCGTGGAGTCAAACCAGATCAGCAGCTGGTCAAGGTAAACCAGCATTGAACCGGATTTCTGATCATTTCAGTTCTTTTTAAAATAGCACTCAAGCGTGGCCTTCACGGGGTTATTGCAGATCGTACATGATGAGCTAGTGAAGGTGATGGGTGGAGAAGTATCTGAGCTACAGTTTGCTAAGTCAGGTCCTACTGTTATATTGCTTGCTGGGCTCCAAGGAGTGGGGAAGACAACTGTTTGCGCTAAACTTGCTTATTACCTAAAGAAGCAGGTATGCTTGTGATGGGATTTTCACTCTCTGTCAAATAACACAGACATTTATTATAGTTGATCATTATGTATAGGGAAAATCTTGCATGCTTATTGCTGGAGATGTATACCGACCTGCTGCCATCGATCAACTTGTCATTTTAGGTGAAAAGGTATTGTAATTTGGACTTGAGAGAACCTGTGATGATATTCTATTCCTTAAAATGTCTTTTCTGGTGATCTCTTTGTGTCAGATTGGTGTGCCAGTTTATACAGCAGGGACTGAAGTAAAACCTGCAGATATAGCTAAGCAAGGTCTAAAAGAAGCTAAAATGAATAATGTTGATGTAGTTATTATGGATACTGCAGGGAGGCTTCAGGTAATCTTGTTATCTGTATTACAAATGTGGTTGTAGCTCTAGTCATGAAACTTCCTCTTTCTGACAGGTAGATAAAGGCATGATGGATGAGTTAAAAGACGTGAAGAGATTTCTGAACCCCACGGAAACGTTGCTTGTTGTTGATGCTATGACTGGACAAGAAGCTGCATGTTAGTACTCGGTTTCATTTTTCTATAGCACAAGATTATCATGTGCGTGTATTAGTTTCTTGATGTATACAAAACCTCTTGACTTTGGTATTTGTTTTGCCCATAGCATTGGTGACGGCATTCAGTGTTGAGATAGGAATCACAGGAGCCATTTTGACAAAGCTAGACGGTGATTCAAGAGGTGGTGCTGCTTTGAGTGTCAAGGAGGTTTGTTCCTCTTGTTTTGATCTATTATTTTATAGCAATTCTGTTGGAACACATCATGAATAGTGTTGCTCTTAAAAATGGGTGTCACTAGGTATCTGGAAAACCGATAAAACTTGTAGGACGTGGAGAGAGAATGGAGGATCTTGAGCCCTTTTATCCCAATAGAATGGCTGGGAGAATTCTAGGAATGGGAGATGTGCTTTCATTTGTAGAGAAGGCACAAGAAGTTGTAAGTTTTCAGTGAAAATTACTATAAAGCTTGTTCTGTTTCCGTCTCTCTTACTGATGTGTTTTGGTATAGATGAAACAAGAAGATGCAGAGGATCTACAAAAGAAGATAATGAGTGAGAAGTTCGACTTCAACGATTTGCTAAAGCAGACACGTGCTGTTGCCAAGATAGGTTCGGTGTCACGTGTTCTTGGAATGATTCCTGGGATGGGGAAAGTGAGTCCAGCGCAAATTAGAGAAGCTGAGAAGAGTCTTGTCATCATGGAAGCAATGATCGAAGCCATGACACCTGGTTTGTTCGTTCTTCCCATTCCGTTAATAAATAAAACAAATGTCTTATTCTTGTTTGGTTGCGTTGGGCAGAGGAAAAAGAGAAGCCTGAGTTACTAGCAGAGTCTCCAGAGAGAAGAAAAAGAATTGCTAAAGATTCAGGAAAGACAGAACAACAGGTACTCTCTCTCACTCAGAAGCTAGTGCCAGATCTCAGACAAGAAAAGAATATTCAATACAGTGTTTGGTTGTTGTTGTTTTGCAGGTGAGCCAGCTTGTAGCACAAATATTCCAAATGAGAGTGAAGATGAAGAACTTAATGGGAGCAATGGAAGGTGGAGCGAATCCTGCGTTCACTGACCTCGCTGACGCAATGAAAGCAGAACAAAAGGTTTCTTTCTTCTTCTTCATGATCTTCACATTTCACTTGTGACAAGAGTTTAACTGATTGTTGTGAATGGATCTTATTAGGGTCTACCTGGAACCGCAAGGAGGAAGAAAAAGGCGGAATCAAGGAAGAAATTTGTGGAGTCAGCATCAAGCAAGCCAGGTCCTCGTGGCTTTGGCTCTGGCAACTAAAACACCTGTTACAGCTAGTCTTTGGAACACTTTGAATTTGAGAATCCTAACTTGGTCAATCACAAAGATAGATTCATTTTTGTATTTTAATGAATATGGAATTCATCAACTGGAAAAGAAGACCTTTCGAACTCATAAGTTTTCATAATCAACATCAGAAAGATATAAGGAATATGATCAAGAGAAGTTAGATATCAACTGTTGTGTATATGAAGAGATGATAGATACAACTTTTCTTCTGTGTAAACCATTTCATTATTGTTTAAAAATAGGATGAACATGAACAAATGATTGTGTTGAGTTAGAAGCCTAGAGAGCTTGTATCTTTCCCTAGTTACATAGCAAAGCTTGTGAGACATTGTACAAGTAAATAACAAAAGATCAAAATATGGTTTCTACTCATGTAAAAGAAAGAATGACTCAAAGTTTCACCATGAAGGAGCTTTTACAACTGCATCCACTCAATGCTGCCGGATTTTCAGCAACCTGAATCACAAGCACAAGCATTCAAAATCAAATGTAAATCTTGAAAAGAGTAATGGACATAATCTATTTTGATATATGTGCAAAACATCCTGTTTCAAATACACAGGGGTAAGAAACTGTCTATGGACTCTACATTCAGCTCAACACTAAATGAACAATGATGAAAATAAAAGAAGTGTTGGAAGATAGTAACTAACTAACAATAGGCCTTACCACGAAAGCAGAGCGGATAAGTTCTTCGACGTAATCAATGGTAGCGCCTTTGACAAAGTCATAAGAGACATTATCTACAACCAATTTCACACCGTTCTTCTCGAAAACCCTGCACAATGTTTTAACAATTGAGACAAAACAAAAAAGATGGTTGTAGTGCAACACTAATGCAGAAAATATAACAAGTAAGGAAAAGAGGGAGAGGGACCTGTCATCAGGATTGGTAGTATGATCAAGCTCAAAGACATACTGGAATCCAGAACATCCTCCAGTTTCTACACCCAAACGAAGCAGCTTCTTTTCCGGCTCACTAGATTGTAACTCTTTCATCCTCTGTCAATAAATAAAAAGGATATATATAACTCATACAAGGTCAATTAATGTCTGTCCTAACAGTATGAATCATGCAAGAAATTCTCAACTAACAGATATGATGAGCATTGCTCAATGCCAATCAGTTATTAATGAAGGAATGTTACAGAGAGAGAGTTAATCTAATATCTTTGGGGAACAAAAAAAATCTCAAATTTATAAGAACTACTCCATGCTCAATTCAAGCAAGCAATTAAGTCCATTGAAAATTCAAAATTGAAAAAAAAAAATTAAACAGTAGAGCTGCATCTAAAAACTTCAAACATAAAAAGGCCTACGAATTGGCTTTCTGGAGAGACAATTAAAAAGACAAATAAAAAAAATACCCGGATACAATTCTCGCTAAGGTGGACAGCTTCGAGAGAAGAAGATTCAGATTGGGAGGAGGACGAAGAAGAAGAAGAAGCTTCTTTGAGAGCAGACACGGAAGAAAGCATCCGATGATTCTCTCTGATACGAGCAGACATATACGGGACAAAGCGTTTCACCAGAGATCTAATAGACATGCTTTTTTTTAACCCTTAAGGTTCTCTCTCTCTCTCTCTGTCTACAGACACACGACTTTTAGAGATTATACGCCATGTAAAGACGGATTTTCAAGCTCTGTTGGAAAAAAGTTTCTTCTTTCTTTCTGGGAATTTTCTTACGGAGGAGGCGAGAGAAATGATTTGGTCGTGTTTATACCACACGCTTCTCTTTTTTCAGACCACCTCGTTTTCTTTTTCTAACTTGCCCCCACACTTTTAATCTTTTCCAAATTGGGCCCCATTAATTCATTTTAAAATAATTTCATCCTTGATACGCATTTGCTCTATGAAACCATGAGATTACTTAAATAGCAGATACTACTGTATATACAAAAAGGGTCGTGAATGTTCTCATGAGCAAGAAATGAACTTTTTGTATATGCAAATCACTCTACATAATCCATTGTTGGAAACTCTCAGGAACAAGCAAATATACTTAGGATCTCTTAAATAATGATTACATAAACAAAACCAAGCTTGCAGGTATGGTTGTGTTAGAGAAAGAGAGCTCTGAAGCATCACGATCCATCACTTCTTCAACCTATGAAAACCAAATGATTTTCGATCTTAAAGAGAGGAAGAATGTCTATATAGTATGTACCCATGCCTTGTGTCATCCGCAGGAACTTGCTGAATGAATGCCTAAGTAAGTTATTGAGACTGTTCTGTGCTGGGGGATGAAGTGTGTGTGAGTTTCTGTCACATGTCCCTGGAATCAAATGCAGGTTTGAGATTGAGACTGATTTTTAAAAGATTTAATAGTTGCGGCAAGAAAATGCGAAAGATGTCTTCGTTCACTTACCAGAATTTCACTATTCTAATCTGATTTTTCCACCTCTCGGAATCTTCTGTCCCATTCGTTTGCCTCGTAGTCTTGTTCAATCATATCTTTCTCTGTACTGTACACGATCCTCTCCTTCCCTATAACTGTATTTTGAGCCATATCCCTTGCGCTCAGCAGCTGCATTGCATTTAGTTTCAAAGGCGTTATCCCAAGTAAAACGAAAAGAAAAAACACATTGACATATGCCCTGAAGTGCCTACCTTACGCCGTAGTGTGATATCTGGAGATTCAAGTGCTCTTGCAAATTGTAGACGAGCTTTGTTTCTATTCTCTATCTGATCATTCTTTCTCTTCACTGAAAGCCACCGAACCAAAGGGATCACAAAGAATGAACCTGCGTACACCTGCATAGCCAAACACTTGTTTCTGTCAATGACCGTGCTTATAACAACCTTCTTAAGACCATATGCTTAAAGCAAATAGGAGGAAACCAAAACTTGATAAAAACTAAAACACACCTGAAGTAGTGGATATATGTTTTTAACAAATGTAATAAATCCACTTGGTCTGAAAGCCATCTCCCTGTTAACCAGCGTTACGTTAGTACAAGGGTTGTATATATGTTACACACAAGGGAATATTAGGTGTGAGTGTCTTACTTTAGGAGGGTGTTTAGAATAATCACACCAAAGAGATTAACCGCGCCTAGGCCAATGACCATTGCTCTCTCGGTCAAACTAGTTTTACTGCGAAGAAAGATGATTACCAGTATCACTAACTGAACCACAAAGAGCAATAAACACTTTTCATAAGTGTAAGTATATTTAACAATGATGAGAACCTGAATTGCCATTTTTTCTCCTTGAAGAACTTATCCATATCTGCAACCCAGTCAAACCACTTTCCCACATACTCCTTTCGTCTACCAGACCCAGAAGCTGTGCGTTGCAGTGACGGAAAGCGATACAGTATGTTTCCCTGCGTAACAGAATATACTTCTAATGAAAATGACCGAAGAAAACACTGCAACCAGAAATCATATACCTCTTCATCCAACTCAGGTTGACCATCAAACCGAAGAAGAACAGGAAGGATATAGGATTCATCACTCTGTGAACACCAAAAAAACAAGGAAACATAAGAAGATGAAATGTATTGTCTTTTTTTCATTGTTTACTAAGCAAAACATACCGTAGCATTCTTGGAAGATGGCACATCAAGGTATGGGGCAAGTTCGTCAGCTGCAACAACACCTCCTCTAGCAGTTATATACCTCCCAATCTGCAAATAGGTGTCAGAAGCGAGTAAATCACTAACTAGTACGTCATTATATGAGTGAGGTGTTTTTTTCATAATAGAATATTAAAATGGTATTCTATAGAAGTCTAAAACAAACATATCCACAGTTCCATTATATACAGATGTAACCTACCTACCATTTTGCTTACTCATCATAAAAGCTACATCTAAGATGTTACCACATAGAATCAAGAACCTCAATGAAAAAACAAGAGTATATTGAAGTCCTGTACATTACCATCTGCCACCTCTCTTCTTCAATTCCTTGGTTTGGGTCTCCGTCTCCAAATACAAAGGAGAAAACCTAGAAATCACCCATTAGTTTAATTCAAAGTCATTATCACTAAGTAGGAAGAAACATATAGCAAAGCATGAACGCTTTTTCAAGTTCAGTTTCCTCTTACAGATTCAATGAAATTCATTCCCTTTCCCTCATCTTCTCGAGCTCGTCGCCTTCTGTAATAATTGGGATCCCAGTACCTTCACATAAAAACATTACAATATGACTAGGAGCCTCCATTGGTTACTTAGGAGTAGATGAAACCTTTACACAAGAAGATCAAATTACCAGAATAGATCAACAGGGTTGAAATAGAAATTGAATCCAGAATCATATCCACGCCCACGTCTCCTTTGACGATTATCATCCTCGCTTATAACAAAACCCAAAAGGTTAGTCCACATTTCAAACCAACGCCATTTGTCCAGAATGATAACATATCTTACTAACAAGAAAACAGAATTGCAGTCAACTACCTTCTACTGCTTGAAAGCAAGAGTATAATTGAAGTGTAGACAATAACAATAGACGCAATAAGCGCCGTCCCAAAGGAAACACGAGTCAGGTAGTCTACAACACCCTGCCAACCACATAACAGAGACCTCAGATGATAAGTAACTTTCAATTTCAAACAAAAGATACGCAAAGAAAGACAATCAATACCTTAGCCTTATCAAGAAATGGTTCAATCTGTATCCTTAACGACTTGGTAGCCAACTTAGATCGATAGTCCCTTGGGAATACATAAAGCACATCACCTTCATCCGATACCTAAATGAATAAAGATCAATACTTTATTAACGCTAATTAAAATCTTAAGCATAAAACGAAACATAAAACGCATAAAGATCAATACTTTATCAAAGCTATTCAAGTCTCAATGGGGGATGAGATCAAACCCATCCAATATACCTCTAGAAACCCATCAGTATCAGCCGCAAGAGCTTGAAGCGCTTTCTGAGCTTCAGTAACTTTCAAGCCAGCTCTGCTAGCCACGTCACCAACAGTGACTCTCCGACCACACTCATCCACAGCTTCCATAGCTCGTTTCCGAACATCCGTAGGTAACTTGTCGCTCTCCACAAGTCCTCCCGGTTTGATTACCTTATCTATACTCGCCGCCCTAATTCCGTGGCTTGTGAGCTTCCGGTGAGAGCTCGGAAACCTATTTTTCAAGATTCCGGGGAAAGAGTGATGATCAAGAGGAGATCTGAGGCGAGTCAAAGGATTCTTTTTTGATGAGAAGACGGATGGAGTTAGCCTAGGGGAGACAATAAAGCATGTGGACACAGAAGCCATTCTATTCTCTAGTTACAGCTTAAAGTCTTCTTTTTTTTTTTGGTCTAGTTATGAATTCAGAGTTTCAGCCATGGGAAGAGACGAGTTTCTATGGTTCATAATCGAAAGCTTTCTTCCGATTGCCTAGAAAGAGTGATTTATGAGACTCTCTCTCCCACGAAGTAGAGCGGACAGCAAATTCATAACCGAATCAAACCGATCGGTACAGCTCTCAAAATCTCAGTGGTTATTGTTTCTTATACCGATACGTAATATCAGACAAGTCTAAGGACTAAATTAATAAATAAAAACTTGTTAGGACTTATATAGTAATACTCCAATAATATGTCTCTTACCTATTTACATGTGTACTTGCTACAGAATTTTCTTCATTTTGTATTTAAATTTTAATATATGGTTGTTACTTTTTTTGTGGGTCAAATATATGGTTTGTTACTATTCCTTTTGACTTCTTCACATTCCCTGCAAAACATTCATGAAACTATCGGAAACATTAGATCATTTTGCACCTGTAATCAAGAAATGTACTTATATATACATAAGCCAAATGTATTGTGACATAATTGTTAAAGGTTTGATCTTCTTTGTAATTGAAAACCCATGCACTGTAAGGAAATAGATTGAAAGAGAGATGATGAAGAAGTGGTCCGAGTCAGCATATGATTACAAGGTCCACCGCACACATTTGTGGTCCGTTTTTAATCTGGATGGTCTTTTGTTTCTTTTCATGTGTCTCTTTGTGTATATAAAATTAGTTATCTACTCTATGAATTGAAAATTTGGAAATTCAAATCTCAAGTTTCAAAATGTTTTTATTTGTAGTTGTGTGTGGTTAGTGGTTATATTGTCTGCTTTTGCACTTTATTACTTGTTTTTTTTTTTTTGGTCAACCACTTTATTACTTGTTATAGACGGATAATGGTGGTTAATTGGTTGTTATGATTACATTTTATCGTGTTACGAAAAAAAAGTATTACATTTTATCGATATTGCACGTTAAGTCAATCAATTTATATGCAAATGGAGGGAAATATAGGTGTGCGTCATTTGGTAGGGTCATAGAAATAACGATTATCAAACATTTTTTTTTTTTTTTTCAAACATATGTTATAAAAATCAAACATATGTTATATTTTTATACATACACTAAGCTCGCTATATTTTCATTATAGTGCGACCCAGTCTTTTGTTGGTCCGTGTACACTCAATAAAGTGTTTTCAGTAAGTTTGTGAACATTATATATGACAAAAGACAAACTGAAAAAAGGCTAAGCAGTCTCCTTTCTGTATGGTGCCATTGCCCATTATGATTTAGATATGCAAACGATTGTTATTGTTATTTTTTTTGTTCAAAATCTTTATGTTATTATTTCAATCTTCTCATTTGAAGTGCAATTTAATGTGAGGGTATGTCTAGATTTCATATTATTTTAATCTGAAAATAGAATGCCTTCCTTGATTTATTTCGATAAATGGTTAAATATTTGTTATTAAGGAAGTAAGCAAGCTTTCAACAAGTAATTGTGTAGACACATAGTTCCCTGAATATTGATAAACAATAGAATGGTCAACTAGGTAAATTTGGAAAGCGTTAACGTTCGCTTAACGTACTTACGTACACCGTTGCAGTCTGCAACTAAAGGAATCTAGGTAAAGAAAATTAAATAAAAAATCTTTCGAGGTGAAAACCGAAGAGCGCAAAGTAAGAAGGGCTAGCTAGTAATTTTAAAGGGAAAATTGCCAAAAAGGGATGAAATAACCATACTATTGTCCCCTTAGAACAAAATTTTTGATCTTTGTTCCTATAGTAGAAACAATAATGAATACCCCTTTTGTCCTTATTTTATTGAAATTTTCCTAATTAGAATGTTCCCTAATTATTTTGTAAATGGTTTTGTCGTAACAAAACCAAAAAGAAACCCTCAGCTGCTTTTATAAAAAAACAGAAATCAAAGCCTTTGCTCCCGACGGAGAAGAAAGAGGCGATATCACCGGCTCACGGTCGTTTCCGTTTTGCCGGAGAGTTCGAAGTAGGCATCACATCTCCTCGTCGTCGTCGTTTCCTCTTTACTTTCCTCTTCACTTCCGGTTTGAAGCAGTCATCACATCTCCCGTCATCGTTGTCCGAGTTCTCTAACCTCCGATATAGCTGTTTCTCGTTCAAGAAGGGACTATTACCGACGCAATCTTCTTTGTTTCCTCTTCTTTCATCTCGATTCCCAAAACTCGAAGGTTAGGGTTTCGAAATCCCCTTTACAATTTTTCAATTGTTTTCGTTTTTGTTTATGTGCATGTAGTAGAAATAGTTTGAATTGTTTATAACACAAATCGATTCACGTTTTTGGTTTTGATTTTTGTTTGTGGTTGAGTTGNTTAGGGTTTCGAAATCCCCTTTACAATTTTTCAATTGTTTTCGTTTTTGTTTATGTGCATGTAGTAGAAATAGTTTGAATTGTTTATAACACAAATCGATTCACGTTTTTGGTTTTGATTTTTGTTTGTGGTTGAGTTGATTTTTGTTTGTGGTTGAGTTGGTTTTGATTTTTGTTTGTGGTTGAGTTGATTTTTGTTTATGTGCATGTAGTAGATTTCCTTTCTTTGTCGACTGTGTACTATGGTTTGAATTCAAAAATCTACTGAGTTCGTCATCAAAAGTTGCATCAAGGAAACAAATAGTCTTTTAAACAAGCATAAACGAGACAGAAGAGACAAAAGAGACAAAACGAAACACATAGTCTTCAAAACAAAAGTTGCATCAAGGAAACAAATAGTCTTTTAAACGCATTGACACTCCTATATTGGTGTATCACATCTTCTTCTATTGTGTCCTATAAGTCCACATCTACTGCATTTCCGAGCTTTAGAGCCTTGTGTTCCCTGTGATGAACGGATCTTATCTTCTGCTGTCTCGTGTCGGCGTTTCTTTTTCCTACCTGCACCTCGTCTACTCTCGGGAGCAA